ATGTGTGTATCCTTACAGATCTGCAGTAGAGTTGGGTGTGTGTGTGTGCAAGTGCAGGCCCAACAGGATGAATAAACCATGTCGCTCGTTATCTGGGGGCCTGCCACTGCAACGCCATTTACATATGTCACCCCCACTCCTCTTCACCCCTTCTCTCCCCACTCTGCTCTTTTAACAGGACAGTCAGTCAGGATTAAACGTTTAGCCACTGCCCCATTCAGCACACACACACACACACAAACATGCAGGCAAACTACGCGCACACCCTCACAGACGCACGCTGAGTCACAGGCCGTGTCACCTTGCACTTCAGCGTGGAGTGACAACATGTCAGCAAGGTTATGCCTGGGTGGTGCCGTGTGTATCTGGCCTGACACATCTTGACATATGGAGATGTGTTTCTGACTGCGTGTGTGTGTGTGTGTGTGTGTGTAATAGCTCACAGTGAGACATGGCTAGATAGAAAACAGACTAGAGATGTAGAGCTAGCTGAAATCAGACAACTCTAGACACTGAAGTCACGACAGATTACGTGCACTGTGTGTGTGTGTGTGTGTGTGTGTAAGATCTGGTAGGTTATAGTGTCAGTGAGATTGTAGCATTGAGAGGGGAATCTTGCTTCAGCAATGCAGTAAGAAAGGAAATTAAAAGCGTGATGGGGTGCTTGAATGAGGGAGCACGCAGGAAGGAGGAGACATTTGCAACCGCAGCATGAAACTAGCAGTAAGCCCCGGTGTTATCCCTGCATCCATAAACAATTTGTTTAAAATGAATAATAAGGGATGGAGGAGGATTGAGTGGATAAATTGTTTTTCCACTCACAGATTCCTTAAAATGGGCTATTGTTAACAAAGTCAATGTGCATGATAATATGGGGTTGGGAGGAGGCTCTGGCACTTTTGAGTAGTTTTCAGTTTTGTGCCTCCTGTGGTTGACGTTTGGTTTGGATTGCATGGATTTATTAACCCATCCTTTAAAACCTCTTAAATGACTAATACGTCTACCATAGCATGACTACCTATACTGCTTGTGTGCATGCTGCTAATCAAGCCTGCATGTAGCTATGTGCATTGCTTGTTAAGTTATTTTAAGAAAAGAAAGAGCAGGAGCAAAATCTAACCGAACAACAGCAGTTCTTAGAAAAGCGACTGCTCCCCGTAGACTCCCATGTTAAAATGCCCAAATTTACTACAGAAATAAGCCTATTCCCCAGTTTTTAACCACTATGATGGGTGAATTTTTATATCTCACCAATTCAAATTTTATTAAAGTCTGAAAGATATGAATAATTAAAGCTGTGGCTGCATATAAAAGACGGTTGTAGCCACTGTGATGCCACCCACTGATTTACCGAGGCCTGTTTTGAATCCACAAACTGAGCATTGTGGTCGACGTCATTACCTTGGCGTTTTAAAACCACACATGAAGAGACTGAGGGATCTGCTAGAGAAACCGAGGGGCAACGCTCTGACATCTTAATGTATGCTCCTTTTGCACTCGAATGGTGATCAGAATGTAGAAATCAAACCTCATATTTTATTTAATAAGACCAGAAATTAGCAAATTAGAAAACAATCTCATCAGGACCACAAGAGTAGCCCCCTGCTGGTCACTGGAAATAATGCAGGTGCACTGGCTTCATTTTAGCAGCTTCCAGAGCTGAAACTTGAAGCTACATCCTTGTTCTATGTCATCTCTGTTATCAGCACAGGCTAGTATACTTATGACATGTTAGGAGGACCTGTCAATGCCGTTTGTAATGTTGGTGCCTCAGGATATTTAACTATCTGATAAATAACATGGCTTCCTGTACGCTTGTATTAACTGACCGTCTGAGAAGTCTGCGCTGTGGTTTTACTGGTGAGTAAAACTCTAGTATGACATTTATATACTGTACAAGCACTAATTAACAGTTATCTGTGTGTGTGAAATCTTGTTTAAGGATGCACCTTGCCAACAAGAATAACTCAGTATTTCCACCGTCTCATATAAATATGCACACTTCTGCCTCCCAACTACAAAATATCGTGACGACCTACAGACCTAAGTTGTTTATTTCTAGCTTCCAACATAGTCCCATCATTTTATGACCTTTTGAACCAAGCAGTCTAGAGAATGATTTAGCTGTGTCTGGCCGAGACGCGGAAGTATGCAGGGTTTCTTTTGAATACTTCTCTGATGCTCTTATTTTTAAATTATTTACAGCTACAGTCTTACAGTCACTTTAAGTGACTTCAGATGAGCACACTGTTATTCCAAATCCCTCTGTCATCGCATCATGCTCCATCGTTTGCCAGCAGGCATACTGCCTTGCCTTTGAGCGGGGTCATTTGAAACAACCATAAACACTTTTGCTTTTAGACGTGTTTGGATGACATGTTGTATAAACTAGATTGTTTCAAACACCCTCTGGCCTTTTTGTCATATTCAGAGTTGAACACAGATGCAGACTACACTGATGTGAAACACGCTAAAAGGGATGTGTGAGAACTTTCCATGGACCTAAAAGGACCTCAGAAACTTCACCCACAGAATCTGTGACAAGATCTGAAAACTGCTGTTCACAAACGCTGTCCATCTAATCTGACTGAGCTGGAGCTGTTTTGCAAAGAAGAATGGGCAAAGATTCAGTCTGTAGATGTGCAAAGCTGGTAGAGACAGACCCTAAAAGACTGGCAGCTGTAATTGCACCAAAGGTGGTTCTACAAAGTATTGACTCAGGTGGCTGAATAATTACGCACACCCCACTTTTCAGTTATTTATTTGTAAAAAAATGTTTGGACTCATGTATGATTTTCGTTCCACTTCTCACGTGTACGCCACTTTGTGTTGGTCTTTCACGTGGAATTCCAATAAAACTGATTCATGTTTGTGGCTGTAATGTGACAAAATGTGGAAAAGTTCAAGGGGGCCGAATACTTTTTGCAAGCCACTGTAACTGTCTCTACTGGTGGCATTATAAATAGTACTACCCCGCCAATTGCTGCAACTACTATTGATATATCATAAAATAGCATTTAATAAAAACAAAAAGCGGCCTGTGAGAAATTCTACATGAACACGTTCCGCAATTTCCATTTTTTCTTTGCTCTCTGTCAAAAAACACAGAAAAATTCTGTTTTTACTTTTAGCCTCACACCAAACAGACCAAACAGAGAGCGCAGCGATTATGGAGTCTGCAGTGACACTGCAGCCCTCGGAGAGAAAGGCCGATAATGGACGAAGGAGAGTTTGTACAACTGTGCATGTGCGTCTTGACTCCTCACCTCCAGGGTGGTCAGAACAATCTTTTCCACAGAGGAGAAGTAGGCTTCCCAGAGGAGCTGAGTCTGCTGTCTGAGGGACAGGATCTTGTCCTGGTGGATGGAGCGCACCGTTGTGGGAATCTGCAAAGAACAAACGGCATTCGATCAGTATTGCACATCGCTGCTGACGAACGATTGATCTGGGCATGAAAATGTTTTGCTGTGGGTATGCACCTGCTTCTACTGTCTTGTCATAGACATATGCATGTAGATGTGAACTACATGTACATGTAGGTTCTTAGTCATCCAGGTCATGCTAACTTTTAGAGCTTGGGGAAAAAAAGTGCAGCTGGAATTATGTCTCCTTCATTCTAAAAACAAAACTGGAGTTCCAGATATGTAATCTTAACCCTTGTGGGGGTTTCCCCCTTTGCTGGGACCCACTACTGAGTACTACTGCTACTACGACGGATTATTCATGCAAGCTGTCGTGTGAGCCAAGGTGTAAGAAGGGGGCCTGGATCATTACCATCACCACGAGTGAAACCACTGTGAGACCTTGCCCCACCCTGTCATGTGACCTGCTGAGGTCACCTGAGGTAAGTTATGATACCTGTGACCCAGGTCTACCTTTTGTTCGTTTTCTTCTTTTGTGTACTTTTTCTTTGCCTTCACAGAGAGCAGTGAGCTGCTGAACTTTTAGTGATTAGGTCCAGGATTTAGATCTTTTCAAAAACTTCAAGACTTCAGAGCAAGTTTTTGTAAAAAATAGCAGCAACATCAGAAGATTTCTGTTTTCCGTCTGTCTCTTTTTAACCTGGCAGAATTTAGTCCCAATCAAGAAGGAAGTCCTATTTGTGTAACTCAGTTCAATTCAGTTTTATTCATAAAGCATCAAATCAAGAGTCTTTCCATTCTAAGATAGAGCCCCTACGATAACACAGAAAACCCCAATATTCAAACAAGCCCTTTTGAGTAAGCACTTGGTGACAGTGGGAAGGAAAAACTCCCTTTTAAACAGGAAGAAACCTCCAGCAGAACCAGGCTGAGGGAGGGGGTGATGATCTGCCGTGACTGGCTGGGAATGAGGGGAGGAAGACATCACAAACTCAAGGTAGGTTTAAAAAATGTCTTGTTTTAAACCGGCAGCATTTACAGGAGACAAATATGTGACGTTCCTGAAGGAAACAAAGCACATGAAAGAAGGAATAAAGTTAACGGCTTCTATCAGTCAAACAATATTACGAGAGAGAAGCTTTAAATGCTTCAGCTGGAATTTAATGGACAGTTTTACACTTTTGTTCCAATAGATGTGTAGTTTCTGTTGTGACCATTTGTCACAGTAAAGGGGAGATAATGGCCAATAAACGGTATTTATCCACTCTAGTAAAGAGTACATTCCTCTATCTGTTAGCATGTTTATTGGAGAGGTAGATCCACTGTACGAGCAATATTTTCTAGATATTTCTGTGGTTCCGATAAATACCTCTAATAAAGAGTACAGGCATCTCACATTTAGTGAAAAACACACATATTAAGTGGGTGTTGTGTGCACCTTGCCCCATTGTACCGCAGCAAAATACATAAATCTGGAGAACGATCCAGGACGTCTCAGACCTGTTTGTAGCTGCACAGAGAAAGCCGAGATGGAGCTCCTGCATTATAAAACTCAAAGTCAAACAATATTATTACACACTTCATTCAAATTAAGGTTTAATGGGCGTATAATTACTTTTCCCCCTATGAAGTTCAAGCCGTTCCAACGAAATCCATTTGGTGGTTTTATTTATTTGCCCTCTCACAAAACAATGTGGGGCTTTGTAGGGACATTTTGTAAGCAGTCTGGGACTTGGTATGCCGCTTGAATTTTGTTTAGTTAACAGCCATGTCGCTAGAAAACCAAACATGGTGAAGATGGTGAAGACCGAGCGTGTGCCGAGGGTATCGAGAGTCAGAGAGAGTCTGATTTCAGTTGTGGGAATGCTGCGGTTTCTCTTCGCCGTGTCACTTTCAGGTGATATACAGAGCATGTGATTGTTGTGCGAGCGCGTCTACGGGCCGTTACCTGCAGCAGGAGCCTCTCGTCGCCGATGACTGCGGCCGTGTTCCAGTCGATGATCTCGGAGAAAGGCAGCTCCCAGCCGTTACTCAGCATCACTGGTACACATGCAGCCTGAGACACACACATACAGAGAGTGAGGCCTGCTACCTGCCTAATCTCGGTTGATTTACTGGATATTGATCCTCGTCATTACAGCGACAATACGCAGCTCTGTTTATATAAAGCTGTGATAACTGGACTTCATAATAATCGATCACTCTCTTATTATCTGTGTTTGAGTTTCTTTGAATTGAAAGAGTTTACTTTTAGTGTTTTTCCCGTTATTTGACAACGTGACCGGTAGAAGAATAGAAAAGGAAACGTGGAGAGAGAAAGAATAAAAGTTCAGGTGGAGGTTAAGAGCCTTGTAGATTCCTAACTATTCCTAACTACCCTCTTAGGTTTGGACATACAGTGGATAAAAAACACCAATGGAAGGAAAGAAACCACGATCCAAGCAGACATACTTTTTTTTGCTCAGTCAACTGTACCAGCTTAAGACTAGATCCTGAACTTTCATGGAGTTTATTCACTCCTATTTATTTTTCCTAGATATGAGAAATGCGAATCCTGACAAATAAGCCACAGTTTCCTCTAAATAATAAACTTTTGATGGAAATTTCAAATATTTAGCAAACATCTTTTCAATTATAAATTTGCAGATATGACTCATGATGGATTCCTCTGGGGAAAACCACAGGCCTGTGGATGTGGTTGTTATTTAAACATCTCTGTGCACCTTGAAAGGTGGCGACTACTTAGTTTCAGCAAATATTGCACGTACAGCTGCTTTTGGACTACTTTTTACTGGATTATCTGACATGTTAAATCTAGCTAATCTATCTATTTGACTTGAGCCTCTAAATGACGCCATGTGCACACCAGCTATTCTTTAATAAGTTTCAAACGGGTCCCTCCACCCTCTCACTACACCACTGCCCTCATTCAGCTTGTGAAGGGTCTGTGACATTAAGTGCTATTCCAACCAAACGCCCTTAAGAAGAAATGGCTTACAGAAGCATTTCATTGGGCGAGTCGGTGCTCATGTAGGTTTACTAACAACAGGTGCAGCACCTGTTCTGTGACCTATTAATATACTGATTAATATTGATTAGAGCAGCTTAAATCCTACAGGACACGACCGGCCTTTTTTCCTTTTTTCCTTCCTGCATTCACTCTGACAGAACAATGTGACACATTTGGACTTAAACCCATGTTGACTGGCTCATAGTTGCAAAAGTGGTTAATATGAACCTGTTGGGATCTTAGGAGCGTATGACGTAACATTTCTAGATTTGCATGCTAATAGACAGGCTATATGCAAAGACAGCAAGACAACTATTGGGGGGCGATCGTGGCTCAAGAGTTGGGAGTTCGTCTCGGAATCGAAAAGTTGCCGGTTCGAGCCCCAGCTCCGACAGCCTCGGTCGTTGTGTCCTTGGGCAAGACACTTCACCCCACTGCCTACTGGTGGTGGTCAGAGGGTCCGGTGGCGCCAGTGTCCGGCAGCCTCGCCTCTGTCAGTGCGCCCCAGGGCAGCTGTGGCTCCAATGTAGCTTGCCATCACCAGTGTGTGAATGTGTGTGTGAATGGGTGGATGACTGGATGTGGTGTAAAGCGCTTTGGGGTCCTTAGGGACTAAGTAAAGCGCTATACAAATACAGGCCATTTACCAATTATATCTCATTATGAACTGAAAGCACAGGAGTCCAGACTCAACTTCAGATGTGTGGAAAAATTTTTAAAAAGCCAGATTCATAAAAACATTTTCTCACACTGCTGCGACAAGAACTACAAGAGGTGAAACGTTCACAAAAAGAATTCCTTAATTACTCGCCCTGTTTCAGTTTATTTGATTTCTGAAAATGTCTGAATCATTCACAAGTCTGGAAAATCAAAGAAAGGAACCAGGCCGCTCTGGCTGTTTTATTCACTTCATGTCTTCACATCAACGTTTAAAAATGATGACATTAGGAGCGGGTGTGTTAATTACTCAAAAGGAGGTGAGCTCGAGGAACGATGAAGGGAATTCTTAAAAGATGAAAAGGCAGACGAACGCGGATAAACAGATATGAATGATATGAGAGGTGGGGAGTTAGTAAAGCCGCAGATGACCTTTGGCAAAGGAATGGCAGAAGGATGGAGGGGTGAGAGGAGAGGTACAGGGGAACAGCTGGTGTGTGCGTGTGTGTCTGTGTGTTTCTGTGGTTTGATGTTAATGACGGCCCTGTCGCTCCCAGGTCATAAAGGTGTCAGCTAAACCAGAACTGGCCCTCAGGCTCTGCTGCTGCCTCTCTCACACACACACACACGCACACACACACACGCACAAGCGCTGACCTCTATGAAGAATTGCTTTTTCATGCAAAGACCAAAGCTGGCAAATACTCTCTCTTTGTCGTCACGGTTTGAATTCGATGGTTGGAGTGAGTGTGACAAATGGAGAAAGGAGAGGAGAGGGCAAATTTGCCTCCTGAGTGAAGTGTTCTCTGCGCGTGTGCGTGCATGTGTGTGTGTCAGCTGATAGTGAGATAAGCACACTTATGTGAGTGCACTCTGTGGACAGCGGCGTACGGTAAGGAGAGGTAAAGGACAGTGCAGTAGTAATGCAGAGCGCTGTGCAGTTACAGAAATGGATGAACAGAGAGGAGGAAAAAAGAAAACGATTGGTGCATGTAAATAAAAGGAGGCAGGAAGAGGCAAAGTGGAGGTGAATGCAGAGCCAGTGTTAGAAAATTACTATGATGACTTATGTTTATTATTTGCAGCAGTTTCACCCGTAATCCAGCTTAATATACTCTTAACCTGGGCAGCAAAAAGCTAGCAAACGGTCTCTGCATGTCTATGCAAATGCATTAAAAAAACAAACCATCTTTATTTATTTTTTTCATGAAGTCAGGCAACAATTTAACAGTGTATCTGCAAAATGAATATCAGTGTTTAGAGGCAGGAAGCAGCAGCTAATCCTCTCAGCGAAGGTCTCGTTTGTTTATATTAATTACACTATTAGTCTGAAAATTAAGGTGGTAATGATCTAGTGATCCTTTAATGCTAGAGGTAGCACCATTAAAACAAATGCTAAGTGGAAGGTTGAGTGTAGGTAGTGATTATTTTTCTTCACAGTGATATTTGCTGGTTAGCTTGAATTTAGAGCAGTGAGCAATGCTCTCTCGCAGTGCTGTGGATGTGTGTGTTGCTTGTTTACCTGCAGCGCCTCGAGGAAGCGGAAGGAGCCCAGCCGTCTGCCGCGGGGCACCAAACAGAAAGTGGAATTGTGGAGCATCTCCTTGTAGTCGTACCTGCAGGGACACACACACACAGACGTGTTGTGAGTTCACTGATGTGAAAATGACACTAAAGGAACGGGCTTAGAAAAACATGTGAGTAATCATCAGCCACACAGGCCTGGAGACAAGTCATCCTCCAATGGACAACCACGGGAGGCTAACGGAAAATGTGTATTCCCAACCAGTTGTCACCATCAGTCTCAAAGAGAGAGCTGCGCCTAAAGATCTCCCTGTAGCCACAGTTTCACTAGCTCTCTGTAAGGGTTCTGAATGGTTAGAAACAGAACACGTTGCCTTGCCAGTGCAACCAAAAAGCTGCAGAAGGTGCAACTGTTACTCGTCCGTTTCCAGGTTCACCGCCACCACTTAGTGAGCTGTTGGGGAGCGTCATCAGACAAGTCTCCGTCTTGCATGCACATTACTGTCGACTGCATCTGTTACTGACCGAAGAAGACGCAATTGCAATTGGAAAAGGTTGCACCTAGCAACTGCCAGCAACCACTCACCATCTGGTTTGGGACTGCCCATCTTTCTCTAGCAACCTGTGGTAGTCAGAGTGGTGTCTCTAGTCACGTGTCACCGGGTTACAGATTAGACGATTGCATGCTGTATGAGCTAGTTCTCATCAGTCAGTTAGACAATTGTTTGATTGTTTGATGAAGGGATGAAATCTTTGCCACAACATGTATTAGGGTGGAAATTGTGATGTGACTCTGGATACGATGCTATCTGGAATCATCGCCCATGATAATGCTGTTATCATGACACAGTGATTATCATATTGCAATTATTTAGTATCTATGAGAGTATGAAATCTGTGTAACTAACAACATCAACAAAACTGTCCTAAAGAGCCAAAAAGCAGAATTTGATTCATATTACAATATTTTGAATGATTGCAAGAAGATGATGCATCACAATGTTGCTCTTTTGCAGCGCTACTGTTATGCATGTAGTTTTCCACACACTCCCACACATTTAATGACATAAAAACCAAACAGTTATATCAGGAGGGCTCAAACAACTTTTTTAACAAGGTAAAATACAATAATTATCTGAGGGATTTCAAGAGAAAGGGGAGTTCTCACATTTAAAGCGTTGCTTTTTGTGTATTGTAAAGTGGGTTTAACAAGTCAGCAGCTGGCTAATAATCCCTTGTTCCTGGAAAACAAGGTGTATGTGCGAAATCACAGCAAGAACAAAACCACGAGTTGATTTTATTATTATTTTATTATTTAAGGTCCCCAGAGTGTCTGATTTTGCTTTTGCCTTTTTCCACCGAGCCTCCTCTTTTCTGCTTTTTCCTTCCACCTATGTTGTCCTCCACTTCCTGTCATTTATTTCTCACAGCTTTTCTACATCTTTTTCCTTTTTCTTCTCTTTCCCCCAAATCTCAAGATTCACATCCACCTGTGCACACCTCCCCTCTTCTGTCTGCTACCTGTCCCGGTTCTTTTTATCTCTCGGAGCAGGAGGCCGAAGCTCCCACCCTCCCCATCTTCCTCTCTCTGCTTTCCCCCGCTCATCCCTCTATTTCTCTATTTCTCCAGTGAGGTGTATCTTATTGCTCTCCAAACAGGGTGATCAACCCAGCCAGGGGTAATGAGCTGAGAGTGACACCTGCTTCCACCACACAGCTGGCTCTGCGCGTGCATGTGTGCAACAGAAATAGACAAACTGTGCATCAGTCTATGCGTTCATGTTTGCATGCTTGGTGCTTTCTCGTATTTTGACAGGTTGTGTGTTCAGACCAGCGTTGGCTGTAATGACACTTTTTTCCTTAACACTGTAATAGGTTGTAATTCTATAATCACACTAAACTTACTCAAACTGCTACGCTGCTAAGTTTTTAAACTCTCTGCACAACAGGAGGACGAAGCGTCTTCAACTTTTGAGCAATGGAGATATGAACGTTAATCTTTATTGCAAAAAAGGATGAGAATGTAATGGTGAAGCACAAATGACTTTCCGGGCCAGAAACAGCAGCATCTAACACAACATTAACTCTTTCTGAGCATCTGCAAAGCCAGTAACGAAGAACTCTGGACCCAGAGTGATGTTGACCTCAGTCAAGGAGCCAAAGCTTGATTTTCAACGGGTAGGAGAAGCTGTGATGAGCAGTCAGGTTTGTAGAATTGTGGCCTCCATTTCTACCCATACCTGTCTCTCCAAAAGAAATATCTTGTTATTATTCTGGCCTCATTAGGACAGGGATTTCTTCCAGTGTGTGGGCACGTATTCTAAGGCCTAGATTAAACTCTGCTGCAGACACGGACACAGACAGCTGGAGCTTGAGCAGACATCACTGCTGTACTTCTTTAACAGTCCACGTGAAGTCCATCACCAGCAGTACAGGAAAGAATAATCCCAGTTTAGGACTTGCATCGTCAGCTGGTTATTATGCGATCATGCATTTCAGGCAATCTTGCCCAATAATGCGGAAGTAATGTTATATCTTTCAAGGAGTAATTTATTACTTTTTATAAAATAAAAATAAGAGGTAATTCATGACTTTTTTGCTATAATGTCCCCATAATTGACCCTGACACGGAAATGCTGATGTTAATGCGTTAGTTACACCAGGTTGGACCCCATTTTGACTTCACAGCTGCCTTTGTGGCAGAGTCAACAAGGTGTTGGTAACACCCGTCAGTGATTTTGGTCCATATTAACATGATAGCATCAGACAGTTGCTGCAGATTTGTCGAATACACTTCAATGATGAGAATCTCTTGTTCCACCAAATCCCAAAAGTGCTGTATTGGATTGAGATCTGGTGACTGTAGAAGCCATCTAACTGCAGTGAACTCATCGCTATGCTCAAGAAACCAGTTTGAGGTTATTTGAGCTTTGTGACATGTTACAATCTGCCTGGAAGCAGCCATCAGAAGACGGGTAAACTGAGGTCATAAAGACACGGGCACGGTCAACAATAATAGTCGGTTACTCTGTGCTGTTTAAAAGATGTTCAACAATACTAACAGGTGTTCCAAGAAGATATGCCCCATTACACAACCACCAGCAGCCTGATATGCTTTTGTGTTGTTTACGCCAAATTCTGAGCCTAAAACCCGAACATGTAGCCCATCTGCGGCAAGTTTTGACAGAGACGCTCTTCTGCGTTGGTTGTAACAAGATAAGATAAGACTTTATTGATGGGAAAGTTTTGCTTTACCTCAGCTCAGGTACAGATAGCAGAAGGAAAATACAAAAACTCAAATAAAATACAAACAAATATAAAATAAGTAAGATAATACACTATATACAACGGTAGCATACAAAGTATGTGATTATGGATATGGTTGTGGAAATATGCAAGACATAAACTATAAACTAGTTATTACATAACTATTCTACCACTACTATTCCTATGTAAGTAATAGATATCTATAAGTATAGACATGTACACGTACACACACACAGGTACACACTAAATATACATATGCATACACACGTCCATACACATAGAAGGTGCATTATGCATGAAGTGGTGACTGTGGATGTCCACAATGCCCAGTGACTTATGACATCGTGATTGAGGAGTTATAGAGTCTAACTGCTGTTGGGATGAATGATCTGTGAAAGCGCTCCTTCCTGCAGCGAGGGTGTTTCGCGACTGGTTCTTTGAGTTACTGTTGCCTTCCTACCAGCTAAAAGCAGTTTGGCTATTCTTCTCTGACCTCTAACATCAACAAGGCATTTTCTCCCAGACAATGTATAGTCAAAGGTAAATTACCAGCCAGTGGTGCATTAGAAAGGAAGCATCCTTCATAAATGATCTTCAGACATATTTTCATGACTCCACATGTGATGAAGACAATAATCAAAACAATGTAAACTAAATCTTCCTGCAACAATGACAGATCTGATAGCGTGTTTTAGCATTAAGAAGATAAGAAGGAGATAAACTGGCATAAAGCATAAACACGTTCATTTTAATTAGAAGTACCCCGTAATGCATTTGCATGATTATTTTTACATGTATCTTCTACTCTACTGATAACAGAGCGGCTGTGCTGTAGCACGTAAGGAAGTGTGAAGGTGATTGCTGATGCTGCCTTTGGTGCGTTTCTCTGACTATGGCCCACGCTGACAGGTCAAAGCTAGAAGCCAGTCAATTCTCTCCCTCTTTCTTGTTCACACACATACACACTGATGGGCGACTGCTGATGGTGCCTTGTCCCTTCTCCAGCCGAGCTCTAATAAAGTGCGGCGACATGACAGCCTGTGATAAAAATCCCACCCTCATTCACACCTACACGCGCAGCGTTCTGCACAGCACATAACACAGTTATCGCACACACAGACTCGCAGACGCGCGCGCCGCAAGAACAAGCGACAGCTGCACGCCCTCACATTGACGTTCCGTCACCTGTCGATGGAGACGAAGAAGCTATATTAGCCCATATTTTCACACCAGCTGTCTCTCTGGACAATCTGTGTGTGTGTGTCCCCGCGTGTGCGTATGTGTGTGCGTGCACGCAACAGCCCACAAAACAGACCAGCAGCTGATGGCACTGAATATCAATGTGGGATTTAACAGGCAACAGCCCTATAGCATGTTTTATCCAGCCATTGCACTTTTCTTTGTCACATGTTTAATGCGACACAAATGTTTGCCATTTATCCGACCCAGCCGGACATGGAAAGAACTTTTTTAGCACCAGGTTTTGGGATATCTTAAGACCACTATAAGAAAGTGTCGAGGAAATCACTGGCTTACTGGATGCAGATTTTAGGTAGGATGTGACAGCTGGCTCCCTCCCACATGATCCACCTGCTCTGCACCTTAATCGTACGACTGGGATTGTGCCTAAAACCGATAATTTTCTTTTCACGAGAGTTCTGGTGGTTTTAGAGGATGTGATGAGGTTTCATGACGAGACCTCTAGGAGGCGAGTCCCTGCTGGACAAACCCACTTTCCTCCTTCCTTTAAATGTCCTGTTTGTTTGCACAGCCTTCCTTTACCATCATCTCCTTCTATCCCACCCCCCTCTCGCTCTCTCTGTCT